GAAGTGGATTTAGACTATGAGGTCCACGAGACCAAGGACAGTATCTTCTTTTCCATTTTATCCCCAGACTTGGCATGGTGCCTGGCACAAAAAGAAATAATAAATGCTTGCTGAGTTGAAATAATGCGGGATACGGCTACAAGGACAAATCTTACAGCTTCATTTTCCATTAGAATAAGCTCACAGCCAAAACCCAAACGGACAAAAGCCAACCATAATAAAACATGTGTTTTAATAGTACTTGAGTTTCCCAAGCACTTGAATTAATGGTAGCTTATTTGATTTTTGCTGTTACAATAATCCTCTGAAGGGGAGCCGTCTGTATTATTTATCTGTTACAGATGGTAAGAGCCAAGTCGGAGAGGGTAAGCCTCAGGAGGCTGGCAGCGCACACGCTGGGACGCGGGTCTCCTGCCTGCCGGAGTTGTCCCGCTGTCCTCTGCAGAAATAGCACAGCGCTGACCAAAAGCGGATGAGGGAACTGGCGGTATCACACCGCTCGAGGTTGTTGCCATTTCTGTTCCTTGGTAATTGCTACACGCTTGGCGCAGAAGAGCTGATACATCCAGGATGTAAGTATATGGGTGTGATAGGAGGAGATTTGGCAAAAAAATAACCCACAAGCTCTCTCTGGGCCGCTGGGACAAACCAGCTGTGCCCGAAGGCTCTTCTCTCTCCCAGCAGAAGGGGTTACATCCGAGCTCGGCTTCCTCGAGGACCAGAGATTCTCTTCCCCAAGGTAACATCCTGCAGATCCAGGGTCTGCAGGGACAGGGCAGCTGGCAGCCAGATCCAGACCGCCTGGCTACAGAGTGCACCAATCAGACCCTTCCCTCTGCCAAGACGGCTTTTCAGGTTTGCCCCAAAAGAAGGGAGGGCAGTAAGGAGCGGGGTGGGGGTCCACCTGAACCCCACAGTGTGTCCAGCACAGCACACAGGCCCTGGCGGCCTTGGGACAACAGGAAACGCTCACACCTTCTTTGGTCTGATCCTTGCTTTTGAAACTTTTCTAATAAAGTCTGTTTCAAACTGTGCCTTGTGATGCTGTGGAATTCCCTTGAGCCCTCGTATGGCAGGTGGCAATCATGAAGGAATCACCCTAACTCACCTTGCATGACAGAGGGCGCTTAACTGTTGTTTTACAACCTTAATCTCAGCTTTCTCTTCTCCTTGCCGCCCTTTTTCCTGGTTGCCTTCAACTTTGCAAAGCAGACCACGGTGCTAGGTACAGAACAGATAACATAGTAGAAAGGTAGTGAGTTAACACGTTACCCTTTGTACCCACGCCCTGGTTTCGGTCAAGCATCCCAGGGAAGTTAACAGGTGACATCACATGTGTCGATGCGCCCAGGAGTAGCAGCATTCCGGAAGCTAAGTCAGGTCAGCGGGCACAAGACGCTCCGCAGTGCAAGGAACGTTTTATTTGACAAAGAGCTCACACGTCCGAGTTTCTCTTTCCACAGAAAAGCCCTTTAGCTTCCATCCAGGCCCTGCGAGGCCCAGCTTACTGAGATTTCCCACAGGGGAGCCAGGAGGAGGTACACAGTCTTCCACTGCTCTTGGGGGAGGCAGGAATCAGGAGATGGAGCTCACATTCCTGTTGGAATTGTTCTGTGTGTATCAAGGAAGAAATTCTGACCCAGAACATGGGAAGCCCTGAGGGACGGTTTGGCAGCATCTGTGATCTGCAGGTATGGATTCACCCTGCAGACACCGGAGCGAGGAATGTTACATACAGTATATTATCAGCTGGGGGTAGGTGTGCATGTGTGTTTATAATCTACCCCGGACGGTAGAAAATAATTCCAATTAGGTAGACAGCATAATTTGCCTTTAAGTCAGGCGTAAGGCCCTGACTTAAGAGATGCTGTTTATTTATTTCCTTTCGACCAGTTTCGCCCCATTCGACCCACTCCACACCTCATGCTTCTTACAACTACCAGTCTGTTCTCTGTATCTGTAAGGTTTTTTCTTTCTTTCTTTCTAAGATTTCACGTATGAGACCATTTGTCTTTCTCTATCTGATTTATTTCACTTAGCATAATGCCCTCAAGATCCATCCATGTTGTTACAAATGGCAGGATTCCCTCCTTTCTCATGGCTGAATAATAATAGTCCATTGTGTATATAAATATGTCACGTTTTCTTTACCCATTCATCCATCAGTGGACACTTAGGTTGCTCCCATGTCTTGGCTGTTATAAATAATGCTGTAAAGAACATGGGGCTGCGCGTATCTTTTTGAGTTAGTGTTGTCAGTTTCTTTGGATAAATACCCAGAAGTGAAATTGCTGGGTCCTATGGTAGTTTCATTTTTATTTTTATTTTTTTGAGGAACCTTCCGTACTGGTGTCTGCAGCAGTGCACACTCCCACCGACACTCAGGTGTTCCCTTCCCTCCACGTCCTCGCCAGCACTTGTTATTTCTTGGCTTTTTGGTAACAGCCATTCTAACAGGGGTGAGGTCATACCTGGTTGTGCTTTCCTTTCTCTTGATAACTTTAGTCATGTATTTAAATTCTCTAAGCCTGTTTGTCTAGAAAAACAAGCATGCAAACCATCTCACTTGAGGAGATGAAATAACGGGGGCAAAGAGCTAGCACAGCCCTGGTACACGGCATCAGAACACACTGAACGCCAGCTCTTGAAATGGAATCCATACCAGCATCTCTTTCATCCTCTGGACTTTGTTCTGCTTTTCTGCCATTTTGTTTCTAGATTAGAGCAGTGACTTCCGTCAAGTTCCCCAAAGAGCCAGAGGCATGGCTTTGATGGAGCACATGTCACTGTGGCTCAAAGTTTCCTTTTCCTTCCCTCAATCTCCCATCCGCTAGCCCCACGCTCCACCAACCCTGGTCCCCTCTTCATTTCTGTTCAGTTTGGATCTGGCCCCATCTGTTTACGGATCGAGGTCATTCGTGGCCAGGTTTTACTTCCCCACTGCTGACTTCCTATAGGCCCAGCCTGCTCAGCTGACCTTCCAGCCCAGGTCAAGCCCACACCTCTGATAGGTCTTCAAAGATTTGGGGTAGTATCCTGGGTATCAAAATGTCTCTGTCCTTGTGATGTATTTCTCCTGCCGCAGGTTAGAAAGTGAAGACACTGGGTTGCATCTGTCTAACTGAGTGGTGGGTGGGTGACCCCTACTTGTGTCTGTCTCTTTGTCCCTCTCAGTCACCTAACATCTTAGTTTCCTCAGACTGTCCCACTTTACTTTATTCTCCTAAAGAAATTATTAACAACATCCTCCTTTGTCTTTAAAAGTGTCCCGGTTTGAAGTTATCTTGTAAGGTTATCTTATCTTTTAGGTTTGGTATATATTTAAGCTTCATTTCAAATAGAAGAGATGGTGGGTTACCAGGCAACAAAAATTTTTTTTTTCAGTACAATAATAACTGTGAGAAGGAAAGTGAGACTGAAGTCACAAGTTTCAGAATTGGTGCTTCAAAGAACTTGCTTTCTGCAGTGTTTTTATCATCGCAAGAACTGTTTTGAAAAACCTGGGGCATGCTACATAATTTACATTTTAAGTGGCTGACCCTTGTTCAGTGGAGTGAGTATAAGCAAGCTAAAAATGCCCAAGGGAAACACACACACATACATACACACACATCACACTTTTTTTTTAATGCCTTTGAAAGTTTCTCCTCTTTTTTTCTCACCTCACTTTATATTACAGGGTAGAATTCATCTTCCACAAAGAGGTGCGAACAAGAAATCTAATAATATTCAGAACCAGAAGCAGCTGGCAGAGTTTGTTCATCCTCAAACTGTGCAGCCACGTTAAGAAGCAGCAGAGAAGTCATTCAAGGAGCTGGGAGGGAAAACCCCCAGCTTTGTTACCATCAACTATCGCCACCCGCACAGAAGGGACGCGAGCCGGTGTAGATGCCACATGGTATCAAGCCATGTCAGTGACGCCGGACCACAGGGGACAGGAAGACAACAGGCGTCCATGTGGCTGACAAGGCTCTACTGAATGTGGAATGATGCCTTCACACACAGCGGCTGCTGCGGTGGCGGGAAGTCAGCGGTCCCCAGACAGCCCGATGACCAGGTTCACAAACTCTCACTTACTCTGAAGATGAATACATGTTCTCATCACTGCTCTCATCAGTGTATCACGTGTTAACCAACTCCCTCCCTTTCCCATTCTGAGGAAGGGCAGAGGGCTATGAAAGATGCAGCGCAGAATCCCAGAGGCACTAGAATGGACCAGGAAACCACAGCACCGCAGTGATTCCCCAGATCCGCTGTCCAGCAGGAGACAAACCAGGCTTCAGAGGAAGTTACAAAGAAAAAGCTGGATCTTACTCTTTCATTAAAGCACCACCAGGCCTCACGATCCGTCAAATAAAAGCAGCCTCTCAGACACGACACCCTCTAATTCACACCTGGCTACTCTGGCCGATGGTGTGACTTAAATTCAGCTCCGGGTGGTCGGCCTTTGACATTCTACCAACTCACATATTTGCATATTCAGAAGCCGTACAAGCACAAAAACATTCAAATGAAATCCACTATATGTTACAGTAGAATGACATGTAATTTATTCATAACTGACAGGCAGTACTCAAAATTAATTTAAATAAGCAAATGATTACACAAACGTCTAATAATACTAAAATTGATAGAAGGTATAAAATACCATGGGTATGAAATGCCATGGTAAATACTATTCAACAGACTACAATCATAATTCCAAACGAAGTCATGGTTTTTTAAAATGATTTTCAGCAGTTTTGAAATGATTTGATTTTGTCCCTCATCCAAGCAATTTACTTCTTCCACTGATACAAGACAAGGTCATTATTTTCAAGAAATATTACAGAATGACATAGCTCAGGTTCCTCTCTTGCAACACATTTTCTTGCAAATTGTTTTTCGATATCATCTCTTGACAGAGACGGCAAACCAGCCAGCACTGTGCCCCGAGCAAAGATGCCTGGATGAGAACGGTGCCAGGGTGTAACTCTGCGTTCAGCAACGGGCAGGCAGTGGAAAAGCTCTTGCAGCCTTCACCGTATGCATACTTCTTTTTTTGAGGCTCCAGCATCATCAACATATTTAGGCACCCAAGCGAGTAAAATTATGGGAATAAAATAATTGGATGTCCAGGTGATTACGCACAATGGCGACCGTGGGTAAGTTACAACAGAATTCTGTGGTACTTCAAATAAAAACAGCACCTACCTAAATTTGCTTCTTGTAAGCCTCGTTACATTTTCAAGAAGCGCAGCTGTGTTTGCAGGAATGATTTGGCTTATCATGTGTCTGTCTGTATTATTTGAAAGTCTTCTACTTTACTGGAATGAGATCCAAGCATGGACCTGGCTTGAGGGCTAGCAGCCGTAGTCACGAAACGTATCAATAAATTAAAAGGCTTTCACAGAACAAGGGTCAGCTAAATTTTTTACATACAAAATACAGCTAGAGAAACACAATTCTTCAATGCTGAATTATGAGGGAGAGGAAAACAATCTAAAAAAATAGAAAACTCTCTCCATACCCGGGCGTCAAGGCAAGATGTAACACTGCATAATGCCACAGTATGAGCAGTCAATGGATGACAGATACTCCAGAAATTGTGGTATCCTGGGGATCTGGTAATTACGACCAAGATATGAAAATACTGTACCAACAGGCATGCATACAATCACTGTGTGCATTCGGTGTGTGAGCTGGGACCTAAGCAGAGCGCTAACACAATAATGAGGCAGTGTTCCAGGGTATCCAGTAAAACCAGTGTGGGCGACTACATGTTGATCAGACCTTCTGAGGCAGCAAAGTGTGGGCACAGCGCCATGTCTGGGTTCTGCAGCTGTTTTATGATTCTCTTGCGGAATTTCTCTCGCACACGATTAAATTCCATTATGTCCATGGGGTCCTCTTCAATCCAAAACTTATGGAACTCGTGCATCAAATAGCCTGTTAGAGAGAAAGACAGTAATAAGAATGAAAGCAAAAAAAAAAATCCTTAATTGTATTCAAAATCACCCTGAATGCTGAAAGAGATGTCAGACCAAAGAACAGTAACCATGGAGCGCAAAGAAGAGATCGGAACACGGCCAATACTGCGGTTAAAAATTATTCTTTAAAACAGGCACAGTGGAAGCTACCGATTGCAAGATTTTTGCAATTGGTCCCAGAATTATTCTCACTCTTCTCAAGAAGGAAGAAAAATCAATTCTGTCATCTGTAGAGTATGAATAACATCTGGAACATTTTCTGAAAGGTCGACAGTAACTACTTCATCTTTCCCCTAATTAAATTAACATGATGGTTTGGTTTTTCAAAATGACTCCGGTCAGTCTTTTTTCTCTTGATATCTGATTTGAGTCAAGTTTTTAATCACCCTGACAAATCAAACGAATGTATTCTGATAATTCATTATGAGAAAAAAAAACCTGCAAACCAACTCTGAACAACACAGACTGGCCATTAAACCACATGAAATTGTTAATAAGACATCTTTGCTCTGAAGCATAATTGATATTCAAAAACTTTGTCTCAAAAATGTTCTCTACCAATGATCTGAACTGGGAAACTTTTTGGAACAAATGTTAAGTATCTGATTAGAAAACCCACTCACTGTATTGTTTCCCCACTGCACCTCCCCCTTTACCATATTTAGAATTGAACTGTGAACAGCTTTTTTGAAAAGACAATAACAGACGTGGCAAAACAAAGCAAGGTCAAGTGTCTCTAAGAAAAAAATATTTTAAAAGGAAATAATACTAGTTAGAAAAAAGGAAACCAAACATTACACAAGCTTTTCTTTGTCTTAACATTAGAAGACAGTTGGGAGGAAGGATTCTGGAGCCAGAAACCTGGTTTAAATCCTAGCCCTTCCCCTCCTTGGAGAAGGAGTGAGCAACACATGACCGGGGGGCACAGGAAGGGAATTTTGGAACATACATACATAATTCTAATAGTAAAAAAAAAAAAAATCAATAGCTTTTGTTTTTCTGGTAAGTAGCTACTTATGGGACAAGCTTTAGCATAGTTCCAATAACAGATTTTAAAAAAATCTTTATTTATATCTCATTATAATACAAAATTAGAAATGACCTTCCGTCCCACCCCTACACACACTGCCAGACGTGGGTCTACTTCCACAAACTCACCTGATTTCTCATTCATGACATTAAGTATGCCATTACACCTCTAAGTTTATGGTCTCTCTCTTCAATATAGGAGAAAGGGTAGCAAGGAGAGAGAATTTATTTTATTTTTTCTTCGGGTTGGCTCACTTCCTTTAGGATTTGTGTCTGGGCTCTCTACACACATTAACACGCTATGTTAATCCGTGTTAACACTGGTTAACATATTGACTGTTATTAACATCTCTGATGGGGACACATCCCAATCCTCATCCAAATGCCTCCGGGCTACACCAGCCAGGGCCCACAGCCACTGTCGTGGGAACCTGATCACAGCAGAGAAGCCCCAGATCGGAGGTAGCGATCCTAGGAGCCATCCCATCTGACTCTGCTCCATCGGATGCTTGGATTCCCTGAGGCAGCACCCAGCCTTGAGCTCCTCTGGTGACAACACTGACATTAGCCTGTCCCATGGCATGGATGAAGAACCTGGTTCTTTAGAGGTCCTTTCTCACACTGGGCCCAAATTTCCTGCCCCATATTTCTTGGAACAAATTCAACACTTCTCCAACTCAAGGATTTGAAGGGATGCCCTTTATGCCATGAGGTTAAGCACCGCCACTACTTCTTACCATTTCTCATATGCACGACTTGGGGTCCGTTTCTCATCCTGGGTGTTTCAGTGCACACCAACAGAAACTCGTTTCCTCTAATCTCAGTATCTCATTCAACCAAAAGAATTCAATCATCTATCCGTCCTAAAGTATCCCAAGAATGGCATGAGGGACTTTAAACCAATGTAGACCCTCCCAGATTCAACCAAACACCATAGTTCAATAAAATGAAGCTCATGTCACTAAAGTTTGAGATCCACTGGTTTAGAAGACGCCCTCTTTTTAAGTTCCCTTGGTTTCTTTCTAAACGTTATAGTGTTTATGGTTCTAAATAAAATCTATGATCATTTATAATTTCTTCCTCCCTTGCTCTATAAAACACACACATAATTTTCCTGACTTGGCCTCTGAGCTCAGATAAACACACCTGAGCTGTTCTGTATACAGAGTCAGATTTCCAATCCTGATGAATTAGAAGCAACTCATTAGTACCATGATTAATAAGGTATTCACTCTTATTGACAATAATAAACAGGCACTATGAAAAATGCCTTAATGAGGAATTCACTTTTCCACAATGTACATACTCACTCTAAAGGTGTCTGGTGTAGCACGGAGTTTTAGAATACAGATCCATTTGGTTTCACCATTTTTCTACCTTACAATGTAACTACAGGAGAACACTGTGAAAACTTTAAAAGATAGGCTAGGGGAAGAGCAGAAGAAGAGGGGTTAATAATCTGACACCATTTTCCTTCCTCTACAGGCTACAAAAGTCAAGCTATAAATCTTGCAAACTGACTCCCTGGGACTCTATCTCATCAGGAAAATAATTAGACACCGTATAACATGATTGTAATCAAAATGCAGAAATAGCGGCTTGGCTTCCAGGGTCCATGTTATAATCACGAAACTTCACTCATTTATATAACATTACAGACTGTTCATAAATCCATTTAGCCAACTGATCAGTTGGCCCATCTGCCAATTAACAAACATGTAACAGATTTGAGGAAAAGGCAGAAGTCCTCATGCTGCACAAACCTTAGCTTCTTATAGAAAGAGAGGGAGCCAGGCAGACAATTTCAGGTGATCTGTTGGCCAAGGAAGCTAACAAAATGGCGTGAAGAGCAGGGGGAGGAGAGAGAGGCCAGGCTACTGCTTACAGCCTCTTATTTAATTCTCACAACAGTTTCATGGAATAGGTAACGCAGAGTAAATCTTCACTTTACAGATGAGGACGTTGGGTTTAGAAAAGATACCTGAATGGTGTACAATTACACAATTACAGCTGGAAGCTGGAAGCCGGGACCTGAAATCAGCTGCCTTTTCCGGTGTATTCTCTCTCTCCGGTTCTTATTCTTAGTGAAAGTCAAAGAAAAGATAATTCTCCTTCCTCTTCTGGGCACTGTACTTTTTCCTTATGCTCACGACGCCTAACCTGACTTCATTTCAGTGGAGCTGCCCGTTCAGGGAAGCCGTAGATTGAATGCAATTTTCATGGCACACTGCCTTGGCAGTGCCGCGCTCACTGAATAAAACTATAAAGTCAAAATGATAGAGCTATTATACTCTTAGATGCTTTCACCTAGATGAAATGCCTGTTTTGAATACTAATGTGCCCTTCCAGCTCAAGCCTGCAGCGTATTTGTTGTTGCTTGAAGGTGCCCTGGTTTTGCTTCACTGCATTTTGGTTAGTAGACGGCAGAGACACATGGGAGGACACAGGTAACTGCAAGAATATTACAGAGGAGACGTGCAGCACTGATCACGTCTGACAGAGGAGCGATGAATTCAGGGCAGTTTGCTTCCTCTAAGGAGGACTGAGTTCCTCTGCCCCACCCCAATCCACAGCGGATGGCTGCTGTTTCTAAAACCTGGTGAGGGTCTTAAAAAATAAGTCATCCTAACGCATGCTTATTCGCCTGGGTTAGGGTTAGGGTTCTCTTGGAAGCTTATCAGTTCAGGCCAAGGCTACATTTTTGCAGAGAAACTAGACTCCCCTTCTCCCAAAAGGACATCATCCAATATTCAAGCTTCCCATCCATCCATCCATCCATTCATCGGTCCATCCGTTTACTGAGCACCTACTCTGTATCAGGCTCTGTGCTGAGGATACAGCAGTGAACAAAACACACATTCCTGTCCTTGTATGTCAGTTCCTATGATTCTAACTTTGATTCCCTCCTGTGAGAGCTTCCCGACCGTGTGGCTCTGACTTTCTCCTTAATGCCGATGAATCCCAAATCTGCCCCCTTGTAATTCTTCAGAGCTCCAGAGCCTTATGTTAGAGTGTCCACTATTTCCCAGAAGGAACACACACACCCCTGGTATACCTAAAACTAAACTCATTCTACTTTTCCTCAAAAGTAAGGGCACAGTAAATACAGAATAAGGTGAGAACAAGGGATACAGAAACACAGCGGGGAGTCCCTTTTACTTAGATCGATGCTCTTTCAAATGGTGCACAGAAGCCCTTCCAAGATATCCTTCCCACCCCTGCCTTTTTCCCTCCTGTCGTCTCTCGACTGCCCTCCTCCCAGCCCACGCCCTGTGCTGTAGCCCCTGACTCCATCAGGCTGTTCCTCATCGCCTGGACCACTCCCTCAGGCCGGACCACGAGGCCACCACTGTATTTTCAGCTACTCAGCCTTCAGGTCTCATGAAATTGGCCTTTGCTTCGGGAAGCTCTCTCTGACCCCCAGGCTGAGTGACGTACGCCAGCCACAGGCCTTTTCAATTTTTGAAAAACAGTATCTTTACTTCTTCAATAACAAAATTCTTCCCAGTGTGCTTTAATTACCTGTTCAGGTGTCAATCTCCCTCAGCACAGACTCTGATCTGTAGTAAAGCCTCAGTACTAGTTGTCGAAAACGGTCAGAATTGTGACAGGAGTGAATACAATGACCTAGTTGCCAGAGTAGGAGCTGTAATCACATATGTAGGGGGCTTCCATTCTCCATGAACAAGTCATAAAATGGATATATTTTAAAATTTGCCCTTTATTTTTATTCAGCTTATAACATGCACATAGTTCAGAGTCAAATAATTTAATGTCCTGTTACAAAAAGCAAACAAAACCTAGCAGCACCTCCTGTCCTAATTCCTGCTTCCTTAAGGCAACATGTCAACCCTTTCAGCTGATTCTTTTGATTATTGACCGCCATAGCTCTCAATAATTTCCCATTGCTTGATTTTTTGACTTCCTTCATCTTGCAGAGTCTATTCTCTTCTGTGATAGATTTTCTGCTTTCTGGACCCTATTTATTCCTTTCAGGATTACTCTTATCTTGTGGAAACATACCCTTCAGGAGCGTCCTTATAAAGGCAAAAGGAGGTAAAATGTTTAAGACTTTGGGTTCAAAAAAAGGTGTTTTTTCTACTCCCACACTTACCTGGTAAGTTGGACTGGGTATAGAATTCTAAATTGGAAATCATATTCTCTTAGATTTTTAAAAATATTCTCTTGAATTTTTGAAAACGTTATTCAACTGTCTTCTAGAATACAATGCTGCTGTTGAGAAGTCCAATGTCATCTTCAGTCCCAGTTCTTGACATGACAGATTTGGAAATTTTTAGAATCATCTCTTTCATGTATCATGAGATTTCACAATGACATGGATCTCAGTGTGAATCCATTTTAATCTGCTATGCTGGTGCTCACTTGTTTAAATACGAAAAGCCATCCTTTAGTTCTGAATATTTTTCTTGATTTAGTTCTTTGACCCTCTCCCCTCAGTTGCACTGTTACTTTTCTGGCACTCCTATTACTCAGCTGTCAGACTTCTAAGAATGGTCCTTTAATTTTTCAACCCTTAGTTTCTATTTTTCATCTTTTACTTTCTATTCTACTTTCTGTAGAAGTTTTCAGCTTTATCTTCTAATCCTTCTTGGAGATTTCATTTCTGTTTTCCGATTTTTAATTTCTAAGAGCACTCTGTTGTTCTCTGAATGCTCTTTCTGTGACACCTTGTTCTTGTTTCATAGTTGCAATTTCTTCTCTTATCTCTTTGGGGATATTAATGATACATATTTTTGAAGTTTTTTTCTCTCACATGGTTTCTATTTCTTCGCAGTGGCTTTATTTCTGCTTGTTTTGGACTCTCTTTCATGCTTGAGGCTTTCCTTTATTTTCTTTTTTTTTTTTTCTTTTAATGGACTTTATTTTTTCAGGGCAGTTTCAGGTTTATAGCAGAACTGAGCAGAAAATACAGAGTTTACACATAGCCCTCTCCACCCACACATATATACTCTGCTACCCTCAACATCCCTCATCATGCGGCATATTTGGTATAATTGATGAAGCAACACGGGCACATTATTATCAGCCAAAGTCCACAGTTTACATTCGGGTTCAGTCTTGATGCTGCACTTTTTATGGGTTTTGACAAACGCATCATGACATGCAGCCACCACTATAACATCATACAGAATAATTTCATTGCCCTAAAAATTCCTTGTGCTCCATTTATTCATCTTCCTTTGTTTTCTTGTTATCTAGTGGTGCTTAAGAAACTATTCCAAAATCCAGTGGCTTAAAACAACCATTTTAATACACTCATGAATTCGGTGGGTTAGGAATTCAGAAAGGATATAGCAGGGATGGATCCACAATGCCTGCAGTCTCAACTGGCAAGACCTGAAGGCTGGGGGGGGGTGACTTGACAGCTGGCGGCAGGAATCATGTGGAGGCAAGTTCACTCACACGTCTGGTGGTGGATGCTGACTACCAGGTGGGGCCTCATCCGGGGCTGTCAGTCAGATTACCTGCATGCGGCTGTTCTGTATGTCCTGGACTTCCTCACAGCATAGAGGAATTAGATCCCTTTCACAGTGGCTTGTGCCTCCAAAGGCAGCTCAGTCTCTGATCACCAGATAAAAACCTTCCCTAACGTAGCCCTGGAAGTCACAGAGTGTCAAAATCTGCTTACTCTATTGGTCAGCCAACTGGTCAGCCCAGATTCAAGGTGTGAAAGAAACAAAGAAGTCCTACCACTCAGCGGGAAGAGTGTCAAGGAATCTGAGGGCATGTTTTTAACCATCACAAACATCCGATAATCCCTGGCTGGCTGTAACTATTTTTTACTAAATAAAAAGCCAACTGGAATAAAAGATGATTGGAAGGTCTGAGCACATAGGACAGGTCTGTTGACTGTGAGCAGGACTGTAGAGAGACATGCCTGGGCCATTTCACTGGGGAAACCCAGAGGGTAGAATCTTTAGCTATTTTCTCTTGGGATGTTCAGATTTCAGAGAAGGCTCTGCCAATCTCTTGACTGGCTGCCAAAGTGACAGGAACTGGGGAGGAGAAGGAGCCTGGGCCTCAGTCTTCATCACCACTTTCAGGATGATTCGCCACCATCTGTACCTGATTCTCACCAGACCAGAGACTCTTTATTTTTCTTTCTCTGGAAAGAGACACCAGCCTCTGCTGAGAAGGGGGAAGGACAGACGCTGTCTCCTGGGGAAGAGGATTCAGGCCTCTCAGAGCTTCTTCATGTGCTTTCATGCACTCTTGCTATTTTCGGTCTTACCTTAATCTTCATTTTCTGAGATACCTAATGCTGCCAGTTCCTGAAGCTTTTGGGGAGCCCTGTGGAATAAATCAGCTTGCTCCTCACCTTTCCACACCCCATTTGGGATTTGCCCACTCAAGACCACTAATTCCTTCAGCGCTTACTCTACCTTCCAGCTTTCAAAATGAGGTTTTCTTGCCTTGTTTCTGATTTCTCCTATTCTTGTGCATCTATGCTTTCTTAGAAAAATCTCTTTATGTTAACTTTAGTGAAGTTTCAGAAGGGAGCATAATGCATACATTAGTTACGTTGTCTTTAACTGGAAGTCCTAGTAAGTAGATATCAAAGAAGACAGAATCCTAGATGATATAATCACTATTAATTTAGGAATTTCGGTAAAATAAATTGCTGTTAACTTGTGACTTTGCCACATTTTAAAAATGAACTGGGGAACCATACTCTCCTGGGGGTAGATTTGGGGTGAAATAACATGAATTAACCATACTTAGAGCCAGTGGCAGACCTCTTTTGCAACTTAACAGGAGAAAAAAAGCTGAGAGAAACCTAAGGAGAAGAACTTTGAAATTTTTCCTAAGAAAGCTTAGGCATGAGGCCCTCAGTGTAGTAAGCATGGTTTCAATGGTTTCAAAGACATTTCTCCTTCAAATTGCTCAGGTCGATTGATGACTTGGTGGACTGTCTTCCTACGTTCCTCCAAACCAGACTGTGTCTGGCCTGCAGGGATCGTAAGGCCACTCAGCTACATTCTAGGATCCAGGGCTCCACTAAATGGTCTCGGACTTTATCTTCTAAGACCTCAGTGCAAGTGCAACCCCAAAGGATGCCCTTCAGGGAAGAACAACATGAGGCTCCAGTTCAGGGTCAACAACACTTCCCGCTACCAGCACCCACACTTACAGGGGTGACAGATACTATCCTCTGTGGCAAGTAATCGCGATGCCACTCCGACACCATCCCCACCGCCCACTACTCCACCGCCTCCTCTTCCTAATGCTCACTGAGCACCAGCTACGGGGCTGGCTAGTAAAGCTTCTTTTTAATCTTCCTCTCATGTTACCTCCATAGCAACTCTATGAGGAAAGGACTCATTTTATAGATGAGGTAACTGAGGCTTAGAGAGGTTAGTAAAAGAGATCTGAGAGTCACTCCAGCTGTCCTCAGAGCCTACACTCTTAAGGGCTGTGCCATGCTGGACCAGAGGGAGAAAAACAACTCGTGATGCCTTTAAAAGTCAGACTGAGATTTGATACACTGAATATTAGGCAAGATCTGGGAATGAGAAAAGATTCATGATGCCTGAACATGTGTAGGTTTTGAACAAGAAAACGAAATCCAAACCAAAGAAAGAAGTTCAAACGCCCCAAAACAGCCAAGCCACAAAGATCCCTCGGCTTCAACCCCCGCCTAGAGTGTTCTACAGAAACCCGAGTCAACAGGTAAACAACAGGACACTCACAGAACGTCTGCTGGAAGTGAGACAATGTTGGAGCTTCTGGGGCGATGTTGTAGAAATGAGTTTTCAGAGCTCCGCTCACCAGTAGGTTATACGCCAGGTCAGTTATATTGATGCCCACAATTGCAAATGAGTACCTGTGAAGTGCGAAACAACACCAACTGGGTGTCACATATGGTAAGTAAACATTTTAAAAAGTGATCATTTGAGTTTTAAATTACTATTAAATTATCAGAGTCGCAGATTCCCCTTCTCTCCCCACCTCGTCAATACCCTGAATCTTACAAATTATCAGAAAATTTCAAGAATGGAGAGTTCATATGCTTTGACTTGGTAATTCTATCCCCAAATATACGAGAGGAAAAAAAATCAGAAAATGACAAAGCTTTAATGCAAGGATAGTCATTTCAGCATTATTTATAAGGCAAAGAAGACATGTAAGCTATTCCTATATCCTACAGAAGGTGAGTGGGGAAGTAAATTACGGTAATCTCGTATAACAGATTACAGCTAATAAAAACTGTATTCCTAAAGGCTATTTAAGCAGGATATTAACATTATGTACAGAACAAGCCAAGTTTTATTACACACACACAAATGTGCATAGAAATTCCACAAAATATTGATATGAGTATGTTAGAGTAATAAGATCAGGCTGATTTTTTTGGTTCACTGTCCTATATTTTTGAAATTTTCTATAAATAATCATAAATTACTTTTAAAATGAGGAAAAGTTTAGTGTCTTAATACTCAGGGTATATTTTCTAGTCCATTTTCTGCATATCTATCCAAAATTAAGTGAAATTGAGTTTTTAAGTCCTCTCTGCTAATATAAATCCAACACATAAAAAAAAAAGTTCTTTGTTGGCAGAAATATTTTTGGATGAATTGGGGCAATATTAAAAAAAAAACACTTCTAAGGTAAATTTTTATCTAGTAGCCTGATCCTTGACAGAAATCCTTGAGGGAAAACTAGCAAATAAAATTCCAAATTATGATTTTGAAAATCATTTCCACAGTTATAACTTTCCAAACCGCATCACTTGGTCACAGGAAAGTAGTATCATATCATCATCCAGATAGATCAAAAACATATAAACAGGTCCTTTTCAAAATTCAGCGGGGTTATAGAGTTCCATCAGGACAAGTGGATTTTCACCCCTGTCATCTTTACAGCGCTCTTGGGCATTTTTATTCTGGTTCTGGCTCAGACTGACAACCTTTATATATGAAATCCACACTCACCCAATTGCTTTCTCCATCCTTTTCTTCTCCCATTCTGCTTTGCTGAATTTGCTGAATAAATGAATAAATGAATGAATGAATACATGAATAAATAAGATCTGGTCTCTAATTGGTGCTTGTTCTCCTTTAACGTTTTTGTTAAAACTGTTGACTAGAGGCGGGGATATCTGTAACTCACTTATCAAACACTAATCAATTTAAATGTCATTAATTAAATAGCCGCAATATAACTTACGTGGGGCTCAGAGTATCCCCATTTACTTTAGTGCAGCAGTGATTGACAGACCTAAAGGCCCAACATTGAGACACTCTTTCATATTATCCAGTCATTATCAAACAATACTTCATCCAAGAAACCTTGCCTGGTGTCTCTCTCTCCTCTAACAAGATGCTCCCTCACCCTATCATGACGCCCCACTGCATTTTGTTTGGTTTTATGGCATTTATCCCACCCAGCCTTACTTGTAATGTCTGGCACACAGCAGATGCCAAATAAATGTTTACTGATAAATAAATAATTGAGTCAGTGACAAAAAGAAAGAAGGAAAGAAGGGAGGGAGGGAGGGAAGAACACACAGGTTCTAAAAATTCTGTTCCAACAAGAGCTATGGCATTTCCTGTGGCTAAGCAAGACAGCTAAACCACAGCAGTTCCATTTTAATCCCTTTTTATAATTTGAGCTTCTGAATGAGACTGTTTGAAGAAAGAATTCTATAATAAAAGCATTGTGAAAATGCTGACTGGCATTCTATTACTTTGTGTCCTTTCTCACTCCCCTAATCTCACCCGCTTCCACACTGCCAGCATCTTATAGACAGGAATCATGATCCCTCTTCATTGTGGCCAATGTGCCCTTCCTTTGGTGATCTACACTGAAAAATGTGGTTAGCCTTTGAACTAAATAAAATTTTAAAGCTAAAGTTATTATGAACACTTAGCTTTCCACCTAGGCAGGAGAAAGGGGAATGCTCTATAGAACACTGCAAACACTACATTAAAAGACACACATGTAACACACACAGCACAGCCCACAAAAACATGACACAAAACCTGGATTTATATATACTTTCTACTGGCTTTAATTCAAAGTAACTGCCCTTAATTCATGTTAAAATAAACCACTTCTTTTTCAAGTGTGACTACCAATTAACACACCAACCAGCCAGCCACAGAGGCATCAGATGTTTCACCTTAAAAGAATAATACCCAAATGAAAATGAGTTGGGTGTGAAATCTAAGAAATTTTATATAACCAAATTTATAAGCACTTATTTTCTCTTCGACAAAGTTTTATAAATACATAGCGTCTCTGTATTTGTTAAATTAAATCTCTCTCTGCATAGGAAATCTACAAAAAGGCCAAATGACCTCTACTCATTTGATTACTTATAGGATAACCTGATCCAAACAGAAGGAATTCCTCTCTTCAGGAAATACACACACACAACAAACAAACAAACAAAATGAACCATCAAAATTCTCCTCTTAAACTTGAATCTACTTTTATCCCTCAAGTTACTTCAAAATTCAATAGATGGGTCTTCACGAGAGCAATAATGTAAAATGTTTGCTGAAGAGCAGACAGGAAAGAACTTTCCTTAGTGTGCGTGGCTTTTCCCTGTCTAACACTTGAAATATTCAGGGATGAACAGAACTTATGCTGATATCACAGTGGGTCAGTATCCATTGGGCTATGTGCCAACTCTGTATTTTCTGCTCAATTCTGCTGTGAACCTGAAGCTGCTCTAAAAAAATTAAGTCTATTAAAAAATTAATTTAAAAAATATATATTTCTTTCAGACATTGGTGAAGGACAGTAGCATTTTCAACACATTCTGACTTGTCTTCAGTCACATTTACCATCAATATGAAATGATTAATACGTAAACTTCATCTAGTCAATTTTATGGTACCTTGAGGGACAAAGTGCATCCTTGCACACACACACACACACAAATACACACACACAAATGCTAGACTCTTCTTAAATAAGAGTAATCACACAAACCCTCAAGGGTCTCCTCTCTGATGGTCAACAGAGGATATAAAACTAAAAGCCTTTCTTTCAGAACGGCTCATAGACAAAGTTAATCTCCCTCCAATGGCTAATCAAAAAATATTTTAAGCCAATTGTCACTTCTTGAGGACCATGGAGGATTCATGTCTTCTGGCTTATGCTCCTTCAAGAAATGCCACCTGACAGTGCGTACAGACTCCTCAGCCAATTCTAATTAGAGAGAGGTCAGAGTCTTTATATCACAGAAGCATGCAATTCTGAAAATGTCATTCAAAACGGAAATAGCTCAATTTTAACCATGTAATATATGAAGAAAGAGGTAAGTGATTTTAGTGTTTTTCTCAAAGTAAAGGTAAAGAAAATGAAAACTTAACATTATAAAAATTATAATTATAAATTTGGGAAGAAGAGTATAGTTTAATGAATCTCAGCCAACTGAAGCTAGAATGAATATAATAGTAAGGTCAACTTGTTTGTAAATTTTGAGAATGGTATGATAAGATGTTGGACTTATTTAGCCAACAGGAACACTAACAAGGAATCTGCCATGCTGAGGAGAAAAAAGTAATACAAAACTATGGGTGCAAAATAGAAGAACTCCTTATAATAACAGGATTAAAGCATGTATATACAATAATTACTTGGTCTAATAATGCAGTTAGAACTACGTTAATAGAAGAGCGAATCTGCTCTGTGCAACAGAATTCCCCAATAAAATGTCCCTCTCTTGGAGTAGATGGGATCAGAGTACGTGTGGTAACGTGGTGAGCCTTTAGGTGAAGTGTTCAAAATGTTTCTGCAATGAGATACAGCCATGGCTGCAGAAAAGCTCTTAGACATTTTCCATCAGGTCTGTCTAATATGCTTTTTCCTTCACCAAAAACAGCCCAAATGTAATGAACTATGTTACATAAAAAGTTGGGAAATGTCTACCTTTTTGAAAAAGTTTCATGAATTTATATTTCTTTAAAAATTCTTACCCATGCTTATTCTAAAATAAACGCAGGAAAACACAAAAGCAAAGAAAAATACCTTATTTCCTCTTTAGTGATATCCCTTCACGTAATCAGTTAAAGACAAAAATTTAGAAAGGTAAATGAAAATGCGAACAATTGAGAATCTGCAATTTAATTAAGGAAAAAAAAAAAAAGAGCCTCAGCAATTTCAGACTTTCTCGGTGGCTGCCTGACTGCATGGCTTCCATCCTTTCCTCTGTTCCCCCATCACGGCCCCCTGTCTCTGAGCTCTTTCTTCCAGACTCTATTTCATCCTCCTTCTGTGCTCACCTCCTCATCTTCCTAGACACCAGGGATTTTATCAGTCCCTTCAAATACGTATCTCACTTGAATGGCGCCATTTTACATCCTGAATTCTGTAACAAGAACCTGACATTCTAACCTTCCTATCCAGCATTTGCCAAAAGGGGCTTGTTCGAAAGAGCTTTAAGCCTCGCTTCTGGTGGGCTGACTCTCCTGGGAATCTCACCAACAGAGCGATACAGGAGATGGAGCTAACTCGACCTAATCCACAGAGCCTAATCCACCTTTTATTTCAACATTACCTGCATTTCGGATGAAGAGAATCAGAGAGGACCTGCTGCGCTGCTGCAGGATCCCGTTCCGCAAAATACCTGCAGTGGGAGGGAAAGAAGATCGCAATTCCACACCTGCTGAATTACATCATTTCAATCCAATCTGAGGCCATTCTGGACTCAGAGAAGGACGTCGGGTAAGTACATAGCACTCGGTTCAGCTCCCCCAGAGAATGAGCAGCTTTTCATGATAGAATTTTCCCACTATAATGACAGTATCAGAGGGTAGCTGTATACCCTACATAGATTTAGGAGTAATTCCAGTAGATCTGAAAAATTTAACTATGAATTTTGCCACTCTCCAGAAAGCCAAAGGTATTCTTATTAAGAAGGGTTATAGATTCTCATTAGGAAGGCAGGAGGAGGTCTATCAGAAGGCAGAAAAGGCCTGGCTAAGGGGACATGGTGAGAGGCCGTGACAGCCAAAGGGCAGAGAAAGGATGACACTAGGGGAGGTGATAGAGGCTGCATTTCAAATATATTTTCTTGGAGAATATTCATGGGGTGGTAGAATCCTGGATGAAAATATCTTATGGAGCTTAGAGACGTTAAAAATAAAAGTCTGTTCTGGAAAGACGTGGGCAATGAAGTTTCCTAACAAATATAAAACCTTACACACCCTCAAAATACATCATAAAAAGTGCTTCACAAAGACAATTATAAAATAAGACTATATCATACACTGTTTAATTTGATGTGTGTATATTTCCTGCATATATCTAAAGGATAAAATACGCTCTTAAATTTTCTCTCGGAAAGTTTCAAAACTAGTCAGCAAATTTAGTGTGTGTGTCCATGATTATTAATAAAATTGAGTCTCTTTACACGTTTGTCAGCCATCTAGGCTTCTTTTTTAATATCTTGTCTGTTCATATTTCTTGGTCTAGGATATCTAAAAAATGTCCTCAAATAAATAAGACTAATAAGCCGAAAGAGAATAATATACTGGATATGGATCCTTTATCATTATTAATGTCAATACTGGCTTTCTATTCATTTTATTTATCATGGCTTATCCTACAGAATATTTCAATTTCAATGCATGAGATTTATTTATTTTTCTTCTACATTTTATGCTTTTTTGTTTTTATCTTTAAGAAATTCCTCCTTATTCATGTATCTTAAAGATTTTCTCCTAGAAGTTGTAAAGATTGGTTTTTGACATTCAATTTGTAAACTGAGTTGAGGCAGAGGTTTCATTTCACGTTTCAAATGGAAGGCCAGTTGTCCTAGTTCCATTTATTCAAAAGCTCATCCTTTACCCACTCAGTTGTAACATCACCTTTGTCATCACAATTTACTTTTTTATTCATTCACATTGCACGATAATGTAGCACTTAAAACATTTTATTTAAAAGTGGGTGATTATTCTGATATAAAGACCAAACTAGTGGTTACCAGTTGGGGAGGGTGGAAAGGGCAGTACAGGTGTGCGGGAGTGGGAAGTACAAACTGCTGGGTGTAAGACAGTCTATGAGGATGTATTGTGCAACACGGGGAACACAGCCAACCTTTTATAATAACTGTAAATGGAATGTAACCTTTAAAAGTTGTATAAAAGGTTTAACATCTTAAAAAAAAGAATGGGTGATTATTAAACTTCCTAAATTTAAAATAAAAGTGAAGCCCTAGGGTGGAAATGGGTGCCATTAAAATGACTAAGGTTAAATTTTTTAAAAAATATATATCACCATCCACACTAACAGGGTTGTGTCAAAGGACACAAAAACCACCTTAAAAGGATTCCCTTTGGCTTGAAAAAGAGTGGCGACAAACGACCTAATTTAAGCACGAAAAAATTATGAGCACAATTAGTTGGATCATAATAAATATGCAAAAGCCAGGAGAATAAAATGATAATAAAAATATAGAGTTAAAGCCTAAAAAAAAAAGTTGGATCACCAACAAGGGAACTAGGGCGCCAACGCCTCACTCTGAAAATTGGCACCTTATCTACTTGAGCAGCTGTCTTGCCTGTATTTTAGAGAAACCAAATAACCACAGATAATAAAGGAAACTGTCTTTACGGAATTCCAGCCACCAACCACGGGAAGAATAACAGAGCTAGAAAAGCGGTCTTTGTTACAATTAATTGGTTCAGTGATGACCACGGGAGGAAATGGTTAAAGGGCTGGTGGGGGGCTTCACAACGGGGCCATCAGACCATGATTCCTCTGATCCACCTCAGCACAGGACTGAGAGCGTGGATGCTGCGGGCCTCCCACTGTGATGTCAACATGAACGTACTCAAGCCTTTCTGAGTATCTCTGACTTTCAGGACACACTGGGGACGGGTACAAATGCAAACAGACAAATTCCAGATTGTGGGACATTTTATGGGACAGTTGACCCAGAATCTTGCACGAGTTAATGACGTGGTACAGGAGGCAAAAGGAGAGGACAGAGGAGGACAGCCTGCTCTAATTAAAAGAGACCAGAGAGATAGAATCACTAAATACAATGTGTAGGTCTTATATGAAACTGGATTAAAACAAACCACTTGTAAAAAGACCTTTTGAGAGAACTGGGAAATTTGAATACGAACAGGATACAGATGATACCAAGAGATCATTGTTCATTTTGTTTGGTGTAATAATGGCACTGGGGCTAATGTAAAGTAATATTCATGTCTTTCAGAGCTGCATGTTGAAATATGAGCATGAAATGACAAAAAGTGTAGCATTTTCACTCACACACTTCAACCAAAAAAAAAACAAACCCACGAATGTTGCAAGTATTTCAAAACCTCAATAATTACTGAATCTGAGTGATCAGGACAAAGGGGGTTCTTCATAATCTTCCTTCTGTTTTTGTATAGAATTGAAGTTTTTCATAATAAAAAATTAAAAACAAATTTGAGATTTGCTTAAAAGAATCCATCAAGTTTACCAAATAAAAGGAAGATGGGAGTAGCTTTTTAAATTTTATGAACCTGAGTTCAAGTCAGAGGACTTGAGTGTTTTCTTAGAGTCTTCTGGGAAGTTGCTTTTGGGACTAATGACTCAACTTTGCCATTTCAATACGAGGAGACCGTAACATCGCTTTAAAATTCAACCATCCTTCATTTTACTTACTGCAAATTGTACAGTCCCAAAAGTCCCATTCCTCGAAAATCTGTTTTAGGATCATCACCTTGGAAACCGATTTCACACCACTGCTTAGAAATCCGGGACTCCAGTGGAGTATTGGGCTTCAGGAACTTCCACAACTGAAGACAAGGAAAAAAATCAGCCTACTGATATACACACATAACACTCTTCATGCCTCAAATTTAGTGAAGTACGTGACTAGGAGGACCTTTGCAAAGCTGAATATTTGCCAATACATTTGCCAATACATCCTCCTCCTCCTCCTCCTCCTCCTCCTCCACCTCCTCCTCCTCCTCCTCCTCCACCTCCTCCT